CACAATAACATTAAGTCTACCATGAACCCTAAAGTGTCCAGAAGCTGACGACATTACCCTAGTGGTGAAGGTGATCTGTTTCTTCAAGAATACGCAAGAAAATGAAGGAAACTGATACAGTGTATTGGCCAATGAATGTCAATCAGTTTCACGTCTCGACCTCTAAGCTGCAATTTAATGTGAGTTTAACATTTTGGTTATGAAAACAATGCCACAAGTTTGACCACCAAAATGGTTGACAATATTAGCTTCAGGACATTGTACAAAAAAAAAATAACTAAGAAAATGGGTTAAAAAAAAGGCACTAGGCCAATTTTGCAGTATTATTTTTGCAGCTATACTGCCCTTACGTCTAAACTGCTTCATAAGCAGTTAAGGGGCCTGACAGCTGAGTGGACAGCGCTTGGGATTCGTAGTCCTGAGGTTCCGGGTTCGATCCCCGGCGGAAACAAATAGGCAGCTTCTTTCACCCTGATGCACCTGTTCACCTAGCAGTAAATAGGTACCCGAGAGTTAGGGCTGCTTCCTGGGGGGGGTGTAACAAAAAGGAGGCCTGGTCGAGGACCGGGCCGCGGGGACGCTAAGCCCCGAAATCATCTCAAGATAACCTCAAGTCTGTATAAGACGTGGAACAAAAAATGATTCACCTCAAAGCTTGAATGAAACTTTCAAGTGGCACCATTAACAAAAATGAAACGTAAATAAAAGTGTTTTCTCCATTTTCCAAAATAAAATATGGTTTAAGTGGTTCAATTTCCCCCCCCCCCCTCCCCATTGGTGCCACAAGACAATATTATTGTCTTGTAAATGCAAAGATAATAACTTGTCATTTTGTAATTTTAGACTTTAATTTGAGGAAGTAGAGAAGGAATAACATTTTAAATTTAAATTCAGGAAAGACCTGGGTAAGTACTGGTTTAGATTCAGGAAAGACCTGGGTAAGTACTGGTTTAGATTCAGGAAAGACCTGGGTAAGTACTGGTTTAGATTCAGGAAAGACCTGGGTAAGTACTGGTTTAGATTCAGGAAAGACCTGGGTAAATACTGGTTTTGATTCAGGAAAGACCTGGGTAAATACGGGTTTTGATTCAGGAAGGACCTGGGTAAATACTGGTTTTGATACAGGAAAGACCTGGGTAAATACTGGTTTAGATTCAGGAAAGACCTGGGTAAATACTGGTTTTGATTCAGGAAAGACCTGGGTAAGTACTGGTTTAGTTCCAGGAAAGACCTGGGTAAGTACTGGTTTAGATTCAGGAAAGACCTGGGTAAGTACTGGTTTAGATTCAGGAAAGACCTGGGTAAGTACTGGTTTAGATTCAGGAAAGACCTGGGTAAGTACTGGTTTAGATTCAGGAAAGACCTGGGTAAGTACTGGTTTAGTTTCAGGAAAGACCTGGGTAAGTACTGGTTTAGTTCCAGGAAAGACCTGGGTAAGTACTGGTTTAGATTCAGGAAAGACCTGGGTAAGTACTGGTTTAGATTCAGGAAAGACCTGGGTAAGTACTGGTTTAGATTCAGGAAAGACCTGGGTAAGTACTGGTTTAGATTCAGGAAAGACCTGGGTAAGTACTGGTTTAGATTCAGGAAAGACCTGGGTAAGTACTGGTTTAGATTCAGGAAAGACCTGGGTAAGTACTGGTTTAGATTCAGGAAAGACCTGGGTAAGTACTGGTTTAGATTCAGGAAAGACCTGGGTAAGTACTGGTTTAGATTCAGGAAAGACCTGGGTAAGTACTGGTTTAGATTCAGGAAAGACCTGGGTAAGTACTGGTTTAGATTCAGGAAAGACCTGGGTAAGTACTGGTTTAGATTCAGGAAAGACCTGGGTAAGTACTGGTTTAGATTCAGGAAAGACCTGGGTAAGTACTGGTTTAGATTCAGGAAAGACCTGGGTAAGTACTGGTTTAGATTCAGGAAAGACCTGGGTAAGTACTGGTTTAGATTCAGGAAAGACCTGGGTAAGTACTGGTTTAGATTCAGGAAAGACCTCGGGTAAGTACTGGATTCAGGAAAGACCTGGGTAAGTACTGGTTTAGATTCAGGAAAGACCTGGGTAAGTACTGGTTTAGATTCAGGAAAGACCTGGGTAAGTACTGGTTTAGATTCAGGAAAGACCTGGGTAAGTACTGGTTTAGATTCAGGAAAGACCTGGGTAAGTACTGGTTTAGATTCAGGAAAGACCTGGGTAAGTACTGGTTTAGTTTCAGGAAAGACCTGGGTAAGTACTGGTTTAGATTCAGGAAAGACCTGGGTAAGTACTGGTTTAGTTCCAGGAAAGACCTGGGTAAGTACTGGTTTAGATTCAGGAAAGACCTGGGTAAGTACTGGTTTAGATTCAGGAAAGACCTGGGGTAAATACTGGATTGGAAACTCGGGTGTTGATTTACGGTACAATTTACCGGGTAAAATCACAAGACTTTGGATTGTTGGAGTGTTTAAAGTGTAGGTTTATCCATATAATTTATTATTTATGTAGGTTTATTATATTTTTCTTCATTCATATACCAGTATAGGAATGAGTTTGGTTGGATATAAATAGGCGCTGCCTTGCATGGGCCAAAAAAACTTGCAATTTCCAATATTCTTATGTTCTGAAGAAAATTATGTGGTCTTCTCAAATATATATAATGAAAAAAAACTCGAACTCTGTTTATAGAATGTACCAAAAATAACTGTTTACCAATATATAATCAGTCATTTTCTAATAGAAAATATGGGCCAAGTACAGTCTATGCTCTTTTTTTTTTTTATTGAAAATGCACAAAACGAACAATTTCTAATATATTCTGATTTCTCGTTCAGCAAAACGCAGTAATCTGAATTCTTATTTGAAATGAGAGTTCGTGAGCTAATTTACTTCTAGGAGTGCCCCTACAGGGCCCGAGTGCCCGTATAGTGGCCGAGTGCATCTACAGTACCTATTTACTGCGGGGACCAACAGGGGGGCCACGGGGACCAACAGGGGGCCACGGGGACCAACAGGGGGGCCACGGGGACCAACAGGGGGCCACGGGGACCAACAGGGGACCACGGGGACCAACAGGGGACCACGGGGACCAACAGGGGACCACGGGGACCAACAGGGGACCACGGGGACCAACAGGGGGCCACGGGGACCAACAGGGGGCCACGGGGACCAACAGGGGGGCCACGGGGACCAACAGGGGACCACGGGGACCAACAGGGGGCCACGGGGACCAACAGGGGGCCACGGGGACCAACAGGGGGCCACGGGGACCAACAGGGGGCCAACAGGGGGCCAACAGGGACCAACAGGGGGCCACAGGGACCAACAGGGGGCCACAGGGACCAACAGGGGGCCACAGGGACCAACAGGGAGCCACAGGGACCAACAGGGGGTCACAGGGACCAACAGGGGGCCACAGGGACCAACAGGGACCAACAGGGGGCCACAGGGACCAACAGGGGGCCACAGGGACCAACAGGGGGCCACAGGGACCAACAGGGGGCCACAGGGACCAACAGGGGGCCACAGGGACCAACAGGGACCAACAGGGGGCCACAGGGGGCCACAGGGACCAACAGGGGGCCACAGGGACCAACAGGCACCAACAGGGGGCCACAGTGACCAACAGGGGGCCACAGTGACCAACAGGGACCAACAGGGGGCCACAGGGACCAACAGGGGGCCACAGGGACCAACAGGGGGCCACAGGGACCAACAGGGGGCCACAGGGACCAACAGGGACCAACAGGGGGCCACAGGGACCAACAGGGGGCCACAGGGACCAACAGGGGGCCACAGGGACCAACAGGGGCCACAGGGACCAACAGGGGGCCACAGGGACCAACAGGGGGCCACAGGGACCAACAGGGGGACCAACAGGGGGCCACAGGGGGCCACAGGGACCAACAGGGGGCCACAGGGACCAACAGGGGGCCACAGGGACCACAGGGACCAACAGGGGGGGGGGCCACAGGGACCAACAGGGGGCCACAGGGACCAACAGGGACCAACAGGGGGCCACAGGGACCAACAGGGGGCCACAGGGACCAACAGGGGGCCACAGGGACCAACAGGGGGCCACAGGGACCAACAGGGGGCCACAGGGACCAACAGGGGGCCACAGGGACCAACAGGGGGCCACAGGGACCAACAGGGGGCCACAGGGACCAACAGGGGGCCACAGGGACCAACAGGGGGCCACAGGGACCAACAGGGACCAACAGGGGGCCACAGGGACCAACAGGGGGCCACAGGGACAACAGGGGGCCACAGGGACCAACAGGGGGGGCCACAGGGACCAACAGGGGGCCACAGGGACCAACAGGGGGCCACAGGGACCAACAGGGGGCCACAGGGACCAACAGGGGGCCACAGGGGGACCAACAGGGGCCACAGGGACCAACAGGGGGCCACAGGGACCAACAGGGGGCAACAGGGACCAACAGGGGGCCACAGGGACCAACAGGGGGGGGACCAACAGGGACCAACAGGGGGCCACAGGGACCAACAGGGGGCCACAGGGACCAACAGGGGGCCACAGGGACCAACAGGGGGCCACAGGGACCAACAGGGGGCCACAGGGACCAACAGGGGGCCACAGGGACCAACAGGGGCCAACAGGGACCAACAGGGACCAACAGGGACCACAAATAAACCATCATTCAAAGAGGAAAAACATTTAAACAAGTCCCGAGGGAATAAACCCCAGAGGCAACTGTCCACTTTCTGCCCCACAGTTCCTGCCCCCCCCCCAACAGTTCCTGCCCCGGGAACAAAACATTCTTCCCGACACAAAGTCTCGGGGCGAAACCAAAAAAAAAAAAAAATCAAAACAAACGATTTTCAAAGAGCTAAACCGACTGATTTTTCCCGCCTTATTTGCCTTTATTCCCCAGCTGATGACCACAACAGCCCGGTGGATCACCCCGGGGGGGGGAGGCGCCCCCCACAGGGGAAGAGCTGCCTTAGAGGGTAAATAATACATCCCCCCGCCCGCCCCCCCTGAGGTCGGCCCATCCCACCTCCTCACCTGAGCGGCGGCGCCTCTCCCTCTCCCTGTGGGTGGCGGCGGTGGCGGCGGCTGGTGGCGGCGTGTGAGAGGTGTGTGTGTGTGGGTGGTGGTGGTGGCGGCGGGGGCTGAGGGCGGCTACATCAACATGGCCGGGGAGGCTGAGCGCGGCGGTCCGTCCCCGCCAGACACCAGGTGACGAGTGACGCCATCTTGTGTATCCCTCCGCGCGCCTCACTCCATAACACACACCCTTCACTCAACCTCATATACCCCTCATAACACACTCACATCCTAACCAAACAACTTTATCTTAGTCTAATTTAACTTGTTCCAGGACTTAAATGGGTTGTTAGTGGGTGTAATTGGCTGTCACCCCCCCCCAGGAGGGACTACTTTGAGGCCGCTGTATAAACAAGTGGTCAGTTGCAGCGTTGCCAACTCCTCATAATTCCAGCCATTTCAAAATATTCATAATAATCTAACTGATTTTCAACCCAAAAATACACATTAACCACCTATAACAACAATCTATGTCCACACATACATCTATATATATCAAACAATTCACTATAACCCACATAACTATACTTCAATATTTCACCCACTCCTATAAACCCATTATAATACCATTCATAACAAACTCGTAGAGCCAAATATATAACACGAGGATAATTGCCGTCTATTTATACATTCCTCGATTTATTGGAAACCTGTTGTATAATTCAACGGCTTATATTTGTTGATGTATTTGTTGTATTTCCGCGATGTTTACATACAATGATCGGGTGAAGTAATGTCTATATTAAACCCTTGGTAATGTTGGCAGTTATGTACGTACACTGTGTACACACGTGCTGTACATACACGGCCCTGTGTACACACGTGCTGTACGTACACGGCCGTGTACACACGTGCTGTACGTACACGGCCGTGTACACACGTGCTGTACGTACACGGCCTGTGTACACACGTGCTGTACGTACACGGCCTGTGTACACACGTGCTGTACATACACAGCCTGTGTACACACGTGCTGTACGTACACGGCCTGTGTACACACGTGCTGTACGTACACGGCCCTGTGTACACACGTGCTGTACGTACACGGCCTGTGTACACACGTGCTGTACGTACACGGCCCTGTGTACACACGTGCTGTACGTACACGGCCTGTGTACACACGTGCTGTACGTACACGGCCCTGTGTACACACGTGCTGTACGTACACGGCCCTGTGTACACACGTGCTGTACGTACACGGCCCTGTGTACACACGTGCTGTACGTACACGGCCCTGTGTACACACGTGCTGTACGTACACGGCCTGTGTACACACGTGCTGTACGTACACGGCCTGTGTACACACGTGCTGTACGTACACGGCCTGTGTACACACGTGCTGTACGTACACGGCCCTGTGTACACACGTGCTGTACATACACGGCCTGTGTACACACGTGCTGTACATACACGGCCTGTGTACACACGTGCTGTACGTACACGGCCTGTGTACACACGTGCTGTACGTACACGGCCTGTGTACACACGTGCTGTACATACACGGCCTGTGTACACACGTGCTGTACGTACACGGCCTGTGTACACACGTACACACCTACACCTACATACACACCCACACCCACGTACACACCCACGTACACACCCACACCCACGTACACACTCACACCCACGTACACACCCACACCCACGTACACACCCACACCCACGTACACACCCACACCCACGTACACACCCACGTACACACCCACACCCACGTACACACCCACGTACACACCCACGTACACACCCACACCCACGTACACACCCACGTACACACCCACACCCACGTACACACCCACACCCACGTACACACCCACGTACACACCCACACCCACCCACACCCACGTACACACCCACGTACACACCCACACCCACGTACACACCCACGTACACACCCACACCCACGTACACACCCACACCCACGTACACACCCACACCCACGTACACACCCACACCCACGTACACACCCACACCCACGTACACACCCACACCCACGTACACACCCACACCCACGTACACACCCACGTACACACCCACACCCACGTACACACCCACACCCACGTACACACCCACACCCACGTACACACCCACGTACACACCCACACCCACGTACACACCCACGTACACACCCACACCCACGTACACACCCACGTACACACCCACACCCACGTACACACCCACGTACACACCCACACCCACGTACACACCCACGTACACACCCACACCCACGTACACACCCACGTACACACCCACACCCACGTACACACCCACGTACACACCCACATCCACGTACACACCCACACCCACGTACACACCCACACCCACGTACACACCCACACCCACGTACACACCCACACCCACGTACACACCCACGTACACACCCACACCCACCCACACACACCCACGTACACACCCACACCCACGTACACACCCACGTACACACCCACACCCACGTACACACCCACGTACACATCCACACCCACGTACACACCCACACCCACGTACACACCCACACCCACGTACACACCCACGTACACACCCACACCCACGTACACACCCACGTACACACCCACACCCACGTACACACCCACGTACACACCCACACCCACGTACACACCCACGTACACACCCACACCCACGTACACATCCACGTACACACCCACACCCACGTACACACCCACACCCACGTACACACCCACACCCACGTACACACCCACACCCACGTACACACCCACACCCACGTACACACCCACACCCACGTACACACCCACGTACACACCCACACCCACGTACACACCCACACCCACGTACACATCCACGTACACACCCACACCCACGTACACACCCACACCCACGTACACACCCACACCCACGTACACACCCACACCCACGTACACACCCACGTACACACCCACGTACACACCCACACCCACGTACACACCCACGTACACACCCACACCCACGTACACACCCACGTACACACCCACACCCACGTACACACCCACGTACACACCCACACCCACGTACACACCCACGTACACACCCACACCCACGTACACACCCACGTACACACCCACACCCACGTACACACCCACGTACACACCCACACCCACGTACACACCCACGTACACACCCACACCCACGTACACACCCACACCCACGTACACACCCACGTACACACCCACACCCACGTACACACCCACGTACACACCCACACCCACGTATGATGGACTACATTTTTTTTGTTTTTTTGAGATATATACAAGAGTTGTTACATTCTTGTACAGCCACTAGTACGCGTAGCGTTTCGGGCAAGCAAGACATCACGCAGAAGTGCAAGGACGCAGCAAACAAGTTTGTCCCAGCCCAAAAGGAAAACAGTGAAATGAAGATGAGAAACCCATGGTTTAATCAGAGATGTAGGCTAGCTAAGCAGCAAAGTAAAAGGGCATGGAGAAACTATAGGAATAACAGGACACTGGAGAGCAGAGAAAGATACCAGAATGCCAGGAATGAATATGTCAGGATGAGAAGAGAGGCAGAAAGACAATACGAAAATGACATCGCAAGCAAGGCAAAGACTCAGCCTAAATTGTTGCATAGCCACATTAGGAGAAAAACAACAGTAAAGGAACAGGTTATGAGATTAAGGATAGGGGCGGAAGGATTCACTACAAACGACAAGGAAGTGTGTGAGGAACTGAATAAGAAATTCCAGGAGGTCTTCACCTTAGAGCAAGAAGTTCCAGAGATAAGAGAAGGAATAGCTAACCAGGAACCACTGGAAGAGTTTGAGATTACCAGCGGGGAAGTAAGGAAGTGTTTACTAGAGTTGGATGTGACAAAGGCTATAGGCCCAGATGGAATCTCCCCTTGGATACTAAAGGAAGGAGCAGAAGAACTGTGCCTCCCACTCTCCATAGTGTATAACAAATCACTGGCACCAGGGGAACTGCCAGAAATTTGGAAAGCAGCTAACGTAGTCCCGATATACAAGAAAGGGGATAGACAGGAGGCACTGAACTACAGGCCAGTGTCCCTAACCTGCATACCATGCAAGCTCATGGAGAAGATTGTGCGAAGAAAGCTAGTGGAGCACCTGGAGCGAAAGAACTTTGTAACACAGCATCAACATGGGTTCAGGGATGGCAGGTCCTGCTTCACAGGGTTACTTGAATTCTACGACCAGGCAACAAAAATAAGGCAAGAAAGAGAAGGGTGGGCAGACTGTATATTTTTGGATTGTCAGAAAGCCTTTGACACAGTGCCACACAAGAGGCTAGTGAAAAAGCTGGAGATGCAGGCTGGAGTGAAAGGGAAGGTACTCCGTTGGATACAGGAGTACCTAAGCAACAGGAGACAACGAGTCTGTGTGAGGGGTGAGGTCTCAGATTGGCGAGACGTTACGAGGGGAGTCCCGCAGGGGTCAGTCCTTGGACCTATACTGTTTCTGATATATGTAAATGATCTCCCAGAGGGTATAGAATCGTTTCTCTCAATGTTTGCCGACGATGCAAAAATTATGAGGAGGATTGAAACTGAGGACGATAGTAGGAGGCTACAAGATGACCTAGGCAGACTGAGTGAATGGTCCAACAAATGGCTGTTGAAGTTCAACCCGAGTAAATGCAAAGTAATGAAACTAGGCAGTGGAAACAGGAGGCCAGACACAGGATACAGAATAGGAGATGAAGTACTTAATGAAACGGACAGAGAGAAAGATCTAGGAGTTGATATCACACCAAACCTGTCTCCTGAAGCCCACATAAAGAGAATAACGTCTGCGGCATATGCGAGGCTGGCTAACATCAGAACAGCGTTCAGGAACCTGTGTAAGGAATCATTCAGAATCTTGTACACCACATATGTAAGACCAATCCTGGAGTATGCGGCTCCAGCATGGAGCCCGTACCTTGTCAAGCACAAGACGAAGCTGGAAAAAGTCCAAAGGTATGCCACTATAGACTAATCCCAGAACTAAGAAGCATGAGTTACGAGGAAAGGCTGCGGGAAATGCACCTTACGACACTGGAAGACGGAAGAGTAAGGGGAGACATGATCACAACCTACAAAATCCTCAGGGGAATCGACCGGGTAAACAAGGATAAGCTATTCAACACTGGTGGGACGCGAACAAGGGGACACAGGTGGAAACTGAGTACCCACATGAGCCACAGAGACGTTAGAAGGAACTTTTTCAGTGTGGGAGTAGTTAACAGGTGGAATGCATTAGGCAGTGATGTGGTGGAGGCTGACTCCATACACAGTTTATAATGTAGATATGATAGAGCCCAATAGGCTCAGGAACCTGTACACCAGTTGATTGACAGTTGAGAGGCGGGACCAAAGAGCCACAGCTCAACCCCCGCAAGCACAAATAGGTGAGTACACCCACGTACACACCCACACCTACGTACACACCCACGTACAGACACAGGGCTGTGGTAGCTGAGTGGACAAATCGTGGGACTCGTAATCCTGCGGCCCACGATTCGATTCCTGGACTACGAAGAGACTAAAGGGCAGTTTGTTTCACCCTCATTCCCCTGTTTCCTAGCCGTAAATAGGTACCCGGGAGTTAGTCAGCTGTCACGGGCTGCTTCCTGGGGATGTGTGTGAAAAAAAATAGTACCAGTTGATAGACAGTTGAGAGGCGGGCCCAAAGAGCAGAGCTCAACCCGCAAGCACAACTAGGTGAGTATAGTTTTAACTATAGATATGATAGAGCCCAATAGGCTCAGGAACCCATTAACCAATTTACTGACGGTTGAGAGGCGGGCCCAAAGAGCCAGAGCTCAACCCCCGCAAGCACAACTAGGTGAGTCCACTTCAACTCTATAATGACGTTTGACAACAACTGCGACGATGGTTGAGAGAGTTGGCAACACTGTAGCAGGGCGGGGACACCATTCAAGAACATCACGGCATCATATATATATATTATATATATATATCTACCACTCTCCGTCACTCACTATAGCTTCACCATCACGCTGGGGTATAACACCGCGGTAGACACCCGAGTATAACCAAGATAATCCTCCGTTATATACGAAAATATACAGAAATAATGATATACAATTCAAATTCCTGATAAAGAGGAGGCTACGAGCCTAATGTTAGACTCACAGGGACACGGATCCTTCAACCTTGTTTACAATTACTACTATTTTACCCCATTACGAGATTACATTGTTAATAGGGAGTTACTGGACGGTTGTGTGGGTGTAACCGTCTACATGTGACCATTAGCGACGGGTAGATTAGCGTAGAATATGTATATTAGTGAAGGAAATGGGGAAGTTAGGGGTTAGATATATGTCACCACTGTAGGGGGTAGATAGGGGATAGATTGTTAGGGGAGATAGCAAGGGGTAGGGGATGGCCTGTCCCTCCCAGGGATAGGCCGGAAGATATACCTGATTGACCTCAGAGGCCACTAACCCTAGTGGCCTTGGACATGAAGCCGGCGGCTTGTCGAAGCTCCTCTGCCCCCTATTGACTCACCATTTACGTGTATACATGTTCACAGATTGTGTGTCTAGTAGGGTCCCCGGCGGTGCCCGGGGTCTTTCCCAAGCACATGTGTTAAGTTTGTATTACGTGTGCCAGCATGTGTCACGTGTGTCAGCATGAAGCACGTGACTTTATATGTGTCAGCATGTGTCATGTGTTACCCGTGAACACGACCAGAGACCACATTCCTAACATTCACCACCTCCGGGTCCGTGCCATTCATGGTCGTGTCGCCTCTTGTGGTGACTAATCATTCACTCCAAACGTCTACCACCACCGGGTCCGTGCCATTCATGGTCGTGTCGCCTCTTGTGGTGACTAATCATTCACTCCAAACGTCTACCACCTCTGGTACCGTGCCATTCATGGTCGTGTCGCCTCTTGTGGTGACTAATCATTCACTCCAAACATCTACCACCACCGGGTCCGTGCCATTCATGGTCGTGTCACCTCTTGTGGTGACTAATCATTCACTCCAAACGTCTACCACCTCTGGTACCGTGCCATTCATGGTCGTGTCGCCTCTTGTGGTGACTAATCATTCACTCCAAACGTCTACCACCTCTGGTACCGTGCCATTCATGGTCGTGTCGCCTCTTGTGGTGACTAATCATTCACTCCAAACGTCTACCACCTCTGGTACCGTGCCATTCATGGTCGTGTCGCCTCTTGTGGTGACTAATCATTCACTCCATACGTCTACCACCTCTGGTACCGTGCCATTCATGGTCGTGTCGCCTCTTGTGGTGACTAATCATTCACTCCAAACGTCTACCACCTCTGGTACCGTGCCATTCATGGTCGTGTCACCTCTCGTGGTGGGTTCAATACCGTGCTAAGGCAGCTCATTTTCAGGTTATAGTTCGAGGTATAGCATCTTATAGCTGCATTGCTTTCTTGTATTTGTTTCTAGGAGTCAGTAGTTGAGGTGAACGATAGAGACAGTTTACAGTGGTGTTATATCACGACACAAAGCCAGTTGTAGTCACATGTTAATGTATATTGTATTTTGTTTTATTAACTTGTATTATTATGATTATTATTGGAGAGAGAAGCAGGAGGGAGGCGGTAGTGTGGTCTGAGACCGGCTTAACGAGGCCATTCACGGCCTGTTATGCTGTTTAAGGCGGCCATTCACAACTGTCTGGGTGTTGTTGTTGTAGTATCCCCCCCCCTACCCCTCCCCCCCCCGCCACGACCCCCCCCTCCCCCCCACGTGGGGACACCCTCCCCTCCTCCCCACCACAAGCAGGGTAACTACCTCAATGAGCAGTCTACCCTCAACCCCTCCCCCCCCTGGGCCCCCACCAAGGACACTCTTGTAGGGGCCCCCACCAAGGACACTCTTGTAGGGGCCCCCACCAAGGACACTCTTCTAGGGGCCCCCACCAAGGACACTCTTGTAGGGGCCCCCACCAAGGACACTCTTGTAGGGGCCCCCACCAAGGACACTCTTGTAGGGGCCCCCACCAAGGACACTCTTGTAGGGGCCCCCACCAAGGACACTCTTGTAGGGGCCCCCACCCAACCAATATACCATATAACAAATTATCAAACCATACAACCATCCTGAAACAGTCAATTTTTGTACGATGGAAAAGTTGTTAAACCCGCTCTTCTTTTGACGGACGGGACAAATAAAATATATATATATATATATATATATATATATATATATATGACAATGTCAGACCACGGAGGAAAAATGAAACAGGAATTTCCTTAAGTACTTTCGTATATTAGTGACTCCTTCTGAAGATGTATTAATATACGAAAGTACTTAAGGAAATTCCTGTTTCATTTTTCCTCCGTGGTCTGACACTGTCATATATATATATATATATATATATATATATATATATATATATATATATATATATATATATATACATATATTGTGACAGGAAAGTGTAGGAGTGTAGATGTTCGGCAGTCCTCCAATGGCAGGTGTGAATGCCTAGTCACACTTACAAAAAAAGATAGACTGCTTGCCTGTTTGTCTGTGGTAAAGTGAGGGAAGACACACAAAACACATAGTATGAACAATGAAACTTTAATTAATATAGAAAACAAATTATAAACAAAGACAATCCCTTGGCTATGTACAATGCAAACAAACAAACAAGTAAAAAACAATATAACATAAATGAATAATAGGGAAGAAGTTACTCTACAATAATATAAATTCACAGTTAAAAATAATCAGGTGCTGAGAATATGGCGCTAGCTGCGAAACATCCACCTGATACACAGCGTATATCAGTTGTTCACTGCTTGAGAGCACAAGGATATTCTGACGTCAACGGCTGGATCAAGCCCAGACATCGACTCAGGTAGAGGGCGCTGAGGTGCAGAAGTGCAGGTGTGCAGTCGGCGAGTCACCAATCAGGAGCAGGCAGGCTGGGAAGGGTAGTTGGCTGGTTGATGACGAGCCGGCGTGGAGGGAGTGTGGAGTAGAGGGTGAGTCTTGGGTACGTTTGCCTCCTGGTCAAAACGTTTTGTGCTACTGGTAGACGTATCTTGAAGGTGCATCTTACTGTTGTATAGTATACGTAACTTGATGTAGAGAAGAGCTGGCTCAATCTCTCTTGAAAGAGATTGTCGTCACAAATATATATATATATATATATATATATATATATATATATATATATATATATATATATATATATATATTCCATCTGCTTAGAGAGACTGCGATATCATCTATTTTTCTCGTCGCAATATATATATTATATATATATATATAAATGTAATGGCCGTGACGAGGATTCGAACCTGCGTCCAGGAGCATTAAGGCAGGGTCTGGGATGCTCCCGGACGCAGGTTCGAATCCTCGTCACGGCCCTTGTGGATTTGTTTGTCCGATCCTATCTTAGTGACAGACACCAATGTGTAACCATCAATGATACAACTTCTTCCACTCTACCAATTACCGTTGGAGTGCCACAGGGCAGCATCTTAGGACCTCTCTTATTTCTTATATATATCAATGATCTGCCTAATGTCTCTAATATTCTCAAACCTATATTGTTTGCTGACGATACTACCCTTATCTACTCAAACCTCAACCCACATACACTAAATAATGTTGTGAATAATGAATTAAAAAAAGTCCACTTATGGATGTCAACGAACAAACTAACATTAAACATCGAAAAGACCTACTACATCTTATTTGGAAGCAAATCATCAAATGCAATTCAGCTACAGATAGACAACATTAACATCAGTAATAAAAATGATGGCAAGTTTCTTGGCCTATTCCTAGACAAGAGACTCAACTTCAGCACTCACATTCAACACATAACTAAGAAAGTCTCTAAGACAGTTGGTATACTCTCCAAAATAAGATATTATGTTCCTAACTCTGCTCTCCTCTCACTATATTATGCACTAATCTACCCCTATCTTAATTATGGTATCTGTGCATGGGGGTCTACCACTGCAAACCACCTTAAGCCCATCATCACACAGCAAAAATCTGCTATCAGAATAATAACTAACTCTGCTTTCAGACAACACTCAGCTCCCTTGTTTAAATCCCTTAACTTGCTAAATATTAACTCCCTCCACACATTCTCTTGTGTCAACTACATTTACAAAACCCTGTTCTTAAATGCAAACCATGCTCTGAAACTCTCCCTGGACAGATGTAATAGGACCCATTATCACCACACCAGAAATAAATATATCTTTGATATCCCCAGAGTCAAACTTAATCTGTGTAAACACTCGACGCAAATTAAGGGACCTGGTCTATGGAACTCACTCCCTAGTGAATTGAAAAACTGTCAAACTTTTGCCTTATTTAAAAACAAAACCAAAAAGTACCTAATTTCATCTTCTTAGTTTCCTACACTGAGCTTTAAATTTGCTCTGTATCTAGTGTTACCCAATCTCACAATCTTTATGTACTTAACCCAAACAACTTTATCATTGTGTTCATTGCTGTCTTCTTTTATGTGCTAACCATATGCTGTATTGTGCCTGCTATGTTTTGTCAACTACCATTCAAGCTGTCATTGCAATCACTCTGAGTTACCAATGTGCTTTAATATACCTACAACTTTTCTCACATCTTTTATTTTTTTCATGCTATGTAACTGTTATAATTTTTATCAATTTTGCAAGTATTTACCTACTCATAAGTTTCTTAGATTAAGGACCTGCCCGAAACGCTGCACGTACTAGTGGCTTTACAAGATTGTAATTACTATGCTATGTATCCTCACAATCCCAATGTACCTTCTTGTATATATATAAATAAATAAATAAAATAAGATTTAGTCTTAGTGTTTTTCCTGCCCGAAACGCTTGGCGTAATAGTGGCTTTAATCAAATCACATGTTTATTTAGGTAAGGTACATACATACAAGAGATTTTACAAAGATTTTACATTTAGGCATTGTATGTACTAGCGCTATCTATCAACTTTTGTATCTTACCCTGCATGTATGTACTTTCCCTGAATAAATATATTTTTGATATTCCCAGAGTCAGGCACTACCAGTCACTGGCCCACACTACCAGTCACTGGCCCACACTAACCCCCTCACAGTCACTGGCCCACACTAACCCCCTCACAGTCACTGGCCCACACTAACCCCCTCACAGTCACTGGTCCACACTAACCCCCTCACAGTCACTGCATCACACTACCAGTCACTGGTCCACACTAACCCCCTCACAGTCACTGGCCCACACTAACCCCTTCACAGTCACTGGTCCACACTAACCCCTTCACAGTCACTGGCCCACACTAACCCCCTCACAGTCACTGGTCCACACTAACCCCCTCACAGTCACTGCATCACACTACCAGTCACTGGTCCACACTAACCCCCTCACAGTCACTGGCCCACACTACCAGTCACTGGTCCACACTAACCCCCTCACAGTCACTGGCCCACACTAACCCCCTCACAGTCACTGGCCCACACTAACCCCTTCACAGTCACTGGTCCACACTAACCCCTTCACAGTCACTGGCCCACACTAACCCCCTCACAGTCACTGGTCCACACTAACCCCCTCACAGTCACTGCATCACACTACCAGTCACTGGTCCACACTAACCCCCTCACAGTCACTGGCCCACACTACCAGTCACTGGCCCACACTAACCCCCTCACAGTCACTGGCCCACACTAACCCCCTCACAGTCACTGGCCCACACTAACCCCCTCACAGTCACTGGCCCACACTAACCCCCTCACAGTCACTGGTCCACACTAACCCCTCACAGTCACTGGCCCACACTAACCCCCTCACAGTCACTGGCCCACACTACCAGTCACTGGCCCACACTAACCCCCTCACAGTCACTGGCCCACACTAACCCCTTCACAGTCACTGGTCCACACTAACCCCCTCACAGTCACTGGTCCACACTAACCCCCTCACAGTCACTGGCCCACACTAACCCCCTCACAGTCACTGGTACACACTAACCCCCTCACAGTCACTGGCCACACTAACCCCCTCACAGTCACTGGACCACACTAACCCCCTGACAGTCACTGGCCCACACTAACCCCCTCACAGTCACTGGCCCACACTAACCCCCTCACAGTCACTGGCCCACACTAACCCCTTCACAGTCACTGGCCCACACTAACCCCCCTCACAGTCACTGGCCCACACTAACCCCCTCACAGTCACTGGCCCACACTAACCCCCTCACAGTCACTGGCCCACACTAACCCCTTCACAGTCACTGGCCCACACTAACCCCCCTCACAGTCACCGGCCCACACTAACCCCCTCACAGTCACTGGCCCACACTAACCCCCTCACAGTCACTGGCCCACACTACCAGTCACTGGCCCACACTACCAGTCACTGGCCCACACTACCAGTCACTGGCCCACACTACCAGTCACTGGC